ACATACATACATACATACATACATACATACATACATACATACATACATACATACATACATACATACATACATACATACATACATACATACATACAGACAGAACCTGAATAGTCCATGCAATTGTGAACCCCAGTCTATTGTGTATCGATTGATCGCCTCATCCAGACAGTTCATCATCTCGACCCGCCCGATCCTCCCGACCCACCCGAAGTAGCCTTATTTCTCGCATTTGCCTCTGCCCTAACCCTCAACCTTCCAACCCTCTCCGCATCCCGACTCCCCCCAGCCCCACCTCCCTCCTCTTCCTCCATATTCTCTTCTAACGCTTCCCTTATCCGATCCTTCTCCATCGCCGCCTTGCCGAGCTCTTCAAAAGACGGGCCGCACATGCACCATTTCTTCTTGTCGGGCGGGGAGGAGATGACAGAATCGATTCCGGAGGAGGAGGAAGTTGGAGAGAGGGAGTCGTATGGGGGAAGGTGAAGGGCTTCGTCGATACAGTGGCACTGCACGGCGTTAGGTTGCACTCTTGGGTGAGGGAATCGGAAGAAACGTACAGATGGGACGTTGATGGGGGATCTTGAAGTCATGCGGCGTAGTTCTCCAGGACCATTGACCTTTTCGCCATTCAGCTTCTCGCCATAGCATGAATAGTACACTTGTATGATCAACTCGTGTGATACGCGTATAGGCGTGATCGTGCTACGACATCCGTCAGTCCTGAAAACACAAAAAGTAGGAGAACTTACCCCTCGTTGGTTGACGGCCTGATTTTATCATGCGTTGGCAACCTCGCAACAGCCTTAATCTTCCACCCTTCCTGCGACTGGCCCTTCGAGCTAACCCCTTTCTTGCCCTCCTCCGATTCAGCAATCTTCCCTTCCACCTCGGTCCCCCTCCATAGCGCTCCCACATCCAGCCCAGGGAACCTCTCCCCCTGCCATCCGGGTTTGCCAACTTGATAGATGACGAAATCCTGTGCCGGCTGGGGCTCGTACGGCGGAAGATCTGGTGTCCGCGGAGACGTCAAAGTGTACCGCTGCGAAAGCGTAAGACGGAGGAGGAAGATGGATGTCGTCGGTTTCGGCGAAGGTAATCTGAAATCGATGAGGATGACGGCAGCGATCGCAAACACGTCTGCGCTGGCTCTAAACTTCCAAGGACCCAGACCTTCCATAAACGACTCTCGCCTCATATCGAGGGGCACCACATCCCCAGTAACAGGCGAGATGGCTTGGATCCAGAGTTCGCGCGATTGTACGAGGTCGCCCTTCATCCAGCCGGTCTTTTCGGAGCGAAGCTGCAGGTGTTTGGACAAGTCGCTCTCTGCAGGAGGGGTGGTTTGGGGGTTTTCGGCGTTCTGACGGCGGGTGTAATGACCGCCCATGGATGGGGACGGTGTACGCCCGTGAGTGATGCGATCGTCTTTATCCCCAGAGCCGAGTGAAAGGTCTCGCATATGACCCACCACACCACCTTTGCTCGTGCTCCTTCCCTTCTCCCTGACCGGGCTCAGCCCCACCTCCCTCGCGCGGCCCCGGCGCTCTTCTTCCAATACTTGCGCGGAACGAGCAATGACTTTTTCGAAATCGTGTACGAATCGGATTTCGGGGTCGAGGTGCAGGGAAGTGTTGGCTTTGAATAGGGATGGAAAGTTGCTGTATGGCGCGGGAGAGACGCCTTGGACGCGGGCGGTGATGATGTAGGATAGACGGCCAAATTTGTGCCAGTTGGTAGTGGCCAGCGTAGCTGGAAGGAGGATGTTGAAGCTGAATCTATTGCTCATCCAATCAGCAAGAGGTCCGTCCCATCAGTGGCGGAAGAGGGACACATACGACTGGCTTCCCTGCTCCAACCAAATCCCTTCTTCATTCCCGCCCAGCACCTCTACACCCCGCTCAAAGACACCATCTTCCTCCCATCCTCTAGTATCACCCATGAACAAACGACAGACCGATTGCACACCGACAGAGATGGCTTGAACTTTGCGGCGCTCCTTCATGATGACTTCGAGAGAGCCTGTGAGAACTGTATCGTCTTGAGGGGCCAAACGTTCGCCTGTGGCAAAAATCTGCGGAGGCTGTATCAACGTCGTCGCCCTGCGGAACGTCAGCCTTCCATCCAAAGTCGATTCGAAGAGCATACCATCCCGGCACATGTATCTTTAAACACCCCTTGTTGCTCAGAGTGTTTGTTCCGGCATACCGCAAGAGAATCGGCGGGGGCACCTTGACCTTATCATTGATAGACACTTGAGGGGGGTTTGGCTGGAATTGGGGAAAGTAGTCCGGGGGTTCCGAGGGATTGGCATGGTAGCCTCCTCGTCCTGGGACGTTTGCGGATGGGGTGTACCACCCTGGAGTATTGGGCTGGGAGGAGATGGGAGCAGAGGGAAAGCTCGCGTACTCGTCCATGGTCGTTGATATGCACAGCTGATAGAATAAGATTAGAAGGGTCAACAAATGTAGCTTGGTGGAGGGCGGCCAGGGGGGGATGGGAGACGAGGGGAGATGCAAGAGGAGATGGGCGGTGTGCACTTATGGCGCGGCAAAATATCACTGGGCCCCGGGTCTCGGCTGGTTACTACCTGATTAGATACCAGCACAAGTGAGCATTAGCGGGAGCAAATCTCATTACGCTGAAATGAGACAACGGCCAGGTGGGGGATTCGCTTGGATGTTGGAGTCCGCTGCGGTATGCACAGCACGCAGCGTGGCAGCGGCCTGATGGAGGCTTGGATATGGGTTTGCATACCGTGATGGAGGGGCAATGCAGGTCATAGGGACAGATAGCTATTTCTGGAGGTGGCTGAGCCCCGTGAATCGACATTACGATTGTCTTGTTCGGTGGCCCAGCACCGTCGGGCTGTAGACTCGGAAGATGTAGTGCCTTTTTCGCGTAGTCAGACTCAAGACGGATTGCTGTCGCTCGTGCGGTGTGAGCAAGTTGGCTGCATATGGTCTGTCTGCTATCTGATGCTGTTCCTTGTGAAGCATACGTACGTTGACTACGTACCTCCATGCCGTACGTTCACTTACATAAAGTACATATAAGCCTGGAGTCTGCAGCCCTCGGCCGTACCTCGGATTCCAGCAAAAGTCCACTGCATCGCTCCACTGCAGCAGCTGCACCAGCCAAAAAGACGAAACGTCATCTCGCGTTTCTCGGGTGCCCGTCGGCCTTTGAACGGTGTTATCTCCCCCTCTTCTGTTATCTTGCAATCTACTTGTTATTATGGCGAGACTGATGTCATGCCGCCAAAATTTTGAAAAAAGTCAAAAGAGGCCAGAGCATGCCAGCTTTTATCTCCTGTTGAAGATTCATTCGTGGTCATAACCGTCAAGGTCGCCCCCGACACCACAAGTCCTCTTATCAGCCCTTCTATAAAACCCACAAGCGGTCTCTCGACCAACAATCAAGAGCACCATGTCCTACCACATCGACCTCACAGACCTCACGCCACTCGCCGAAGTGCACGACCAAATCCTCCACCTCCTCTACCTCTCCTCCCCCACCCTCCCCCTCCGCCTCTCCAAATCCCTCTACCGCCACTTTATTCCCAAAATCTACTCTCATCTCACTATCGACTCGTCCAACGTGCACCCCATCCTCTCTGGCTTGGGCTCGCCAAAGGGGTTCAAGGCGCAAGCTTTGAGTTTTGTAGAAGGGTTGAAGATTGGGGTGGACGATGTTGGCTGGAATGGTTTGAGGTTGGCCTTGCACGATACTCTCCTCATCCCCAACCTACCCTGCCCGCTCTTCCCCCGCTTGGAACACATCCACCTCGGGCACTCCCTCTTCAAGCCCTACGGCGGTATCGAACGCATGTTCGAAGCCCTCCTCCCTTCCTACATTCCTCCGCCTTGCCACGTCTCTTTCGACCTGGCTTTGCATCATTTGGATATTGACCATAGTCAGCAGGACTATGTCCGGGATTATAACCTGGCGACGATGAGACGGCTTACAAATTTCATGCTCGTATTCTTCCACGAGCAGAGTGCGTATCACGTCACTTTCCGGCTCTTTGACCCTGCCTCTATTGCCACCACGAGTACCAAAATCTCATCCCAAGAGGCGAAACCGTACCGCGAAGCCTTCTGGGTCTTACACCACTCGCCCATCCCGCACCTCGACAGATTCATGCTCGGTGAATGGCTCGTGCCGCGTCTCCTCCGACCCTCCGGGTCGAGCGAAGCCGTCAGGGGCGAGTTGGAGGCGTATTTTGCGGGGGGGATGGAAGATCGGTTTGGGATGGTTTATGGGCGGGATGTGGGGGGGTATGTGAGGCGGTATGATGTCTGGTTCTTGGAGGAGGAAGAGGAGGGGGATGAGGGTGAGAGTGATGATGGTGTGAGTGGTTTGATTCTGGGTTGTGGACTGAGCTTATGCTTGGGTAGTACTCTACGCCGGTATGGAATAAACCGACTACATGTGGCTTCTCCCTCTCCGCCATTCGTATTGTGAGTTCCATACCTTCAATTGTACCTCATAGGAGGCGCTTACACGAGGACAAAGCTGCTTTCTTGCGCGCAATATCAATACAAGCCACCGCCCGCTTTGAGTCTGCCAAAGTCGTGTCCTTGTCTGTCTGCGGTGTGATTGTATCCAGCTCTGTAGTCCTGTTCATATATGGGTTATCGTTGTACTAGAAATATGTTTAGATGTATAGACTTCACGCGTCGGATGGCCGTCGTCGTCGGCCGATAGTGGAGCTCCAAGTTCACGGCTGTATTCGGCTTGGCCATTCTTCGATGCTTGTACTTCTCGTGATTGTACTATTGTTATCCAGGCTTGCATGCTTCGCGCTGAAGGAAGACCCGGGAAGACCGTACAGCCATACATCACACGCCTGGCCCATGGTGAGATACATCACAGCGAGCCAAACAAAACCTGTGACCTCCGCTAGATGCGATGGGACCCATGCCAGCCGCCTGCTCCCAAACGATCAAGGCCCTCCTCGACTACCACATCCTGTCTCCCCTCTTTGCCACCAGATTTTGAAATCACCTCGCTCGACCCCATCGCCGAAGCCCAAGATCTCATCCTCGAGCATCTCACCCTCATCGCCCCTGTCAAATCCCTCCAGCTCTCACCCTACCACTACGCCAAAGCCCTACCCCTGATATACCACCACCTCTCAGTCCACCAGTTCAACACAGTTGCGATTGAGGTTTGGAGAAGGTGCGTAGTCTATGACTCTCTTGCTCGGCGTGTACTGACGTCTGACTCGTAGACCGTCGCCGGCCTGTGCCAACATGTTGTACGGTGTAGAACTCAACATATGTAGATACCATACGACACAAGTGCTTATAGATGACGTTCGTTTCATGACTGTTGTGAATATCAAAACCTAGCAGACCCGATGTATGCGAAATACATGTACACAATGCTTCTCCTTCTTGCTTCTTCTCTGCTCTTTTCTCTCCGCCGACTTCCCCATATCTCGCTGCCCGTCATACTGCTACAACCTTTCCCTCTCAAGCCTGCGTGATCATTAGGGCTCCATCCACATATCACAGCCGCAAAAACCCACTCTCATCAAGCTTGGTCTTCCATCTTCTTCATAATCAACCCACTCACACTCCCTCCCTAATTACCGCCCCAAACCGCGCCCCCAGGCGCAGCAGAAGGCGCCGGCGACATACCTTCCTTCATACTCAGCCCCACTGCGATCCAGCACCCGTACTCCCATTTCCACTATTACTCCCTCTCCCATTGGTGTTGCCGTTGAGATGAGCACCAGGCGGCGAGGGGCCTCTCGAGGTAGTACCTCCCACTGCCCCAGGTGCAGGGACAGGCGCTCCCCATTTCGGGGAGAGTGCTGGGAAATCGCCGGTATAGCTCTGGCGCTTGATCATCCCCGGGTGCGGGTGCTGGCCTAGCATGCCCGGAGGAGGTGATGGTCTCGCTTGTCCTTGAACCTGAGACTGAGGAGTCGAGCCCTGTGACTGGGGCGGGGTCTGAGAAGGCTGGCCGGGCTGAACGAGGGCACTGGTAGGGCTCAAAACAGCTCTCGTAACGATACTAGCCAAACTCGGGCCTTGTTGAGATCCCCCAGCCGGCGGCGGGGGAGAAGATTTACTGCCTGATCCAGGTAACGGCGGGAACGCCGGTGAACTCTCACCCTCCGCACCCGAGTCTGCTGACGTTGGAGAAGAAGGTAACCCTGGCACCTTTGTCGCGCTCACGGGCGTCCCTGGGCGTTCGGCATGTAGAGGAGAAGGCTGGAAAGGCCGGACACTACCGGGTCGAGAGGGGTTGTGGGGGAGGTAGATACGGTGTTGTAAGCCGGGAGGGATGAGGGATGTGGTATGCTCTTGCGCGGCGGGGGAGGGGGCGGCGGCACCGGGGGACGAGACTGGGGACGCGTTGGCAGCAGCGTTGGCGGCATTGGCTGCGATGGTAGCAGGATGGAAAGGCAGAGCAGAAGCGTTCACCCCGGGCCTCGAAGCCATGGGTCCGAGTTTCGGTGCGCGGAATGACGGGGAACATGCGGATGCCGAGGGCGGGACGGGGTGCGAGATGGGGTACAAGTTGTTGCCGTGTGTTGGACTGGGCAGAGGTGGGGAAGGGCGAGCGCCACCAGACGGGAAACGCGGGGTGTAGCCTGGTACGGCTCGAGGACGATAAGCGGGGCCAGCAGCGTACCCTCCGGCGAGGTTGGAGAGGGACTGGTGTTGTGTGATACCTCTGCTCGCTGGCGCACCGACAGGGCCAAATGCAGGAGCATCGTCGTGATGAGGCTGGTTTTGCCCATACCCCGCGGCATAGTAGGACATTGTCCTCGACCGAGAGGCCTTTTCGTCCTCATTCTTCCTCTCGACTTCTTCACATTCCTTCTCGAGTTCTTCGATACGCTTTTCAAGATCGGCGCCCTCGGCTTCGCGCTTGACTTTTTTCGTTCGAAGCTTTTCAATCTTGGTGACGACGTCTTGCAATTTCTTGTCTTCTTCCACCCTAGTCTTCTTGTCGTCCTCCTTCACCCGGTCTTCCTCGTCCTTTGCACCTTTCCATTCCCTCTCCACTTGATCCACCTCGGCCTTTAACTCTTCCAATCGCTTCTCCAAGTCACCGAGGCCACTCTCCACTTCCCCTGCCTCTTTCTCTGCCGATTCTGCACCAGCCCAGCCTTGCTTGACCTGCTCTTGCAAAGCCAACGCTTTCTGCTTCGCCCTCAAATCCATCCCACCCGCCTTGTCTATACCCTTCTTGGCCCCTTCAATCTCTTGCTTCAAAGCAGCTTCCTGCCGTTGCGCAGTCCGGCGCGCTTCCTTGATCTGCGTTTGAAGCACATCTTTTTCAGAATGCAAGGTTGCAATGGCATGGCGAAGCTGGGCGGCTTGCGTATCGATGGGGTTCAAGATCGGAGTGGGGATGACGGCTTCGGTAGCCGGGGCAGGCGTGGATTCGGCGGGCGTTGGTTCGAATTGGCGGGTGGTGAGAGAGTTGGAGCGGGAGCGTGGACGGGATCGTGAGCGAAGAGAGTTTGCTCTCGAACGGGGATGGAAAGAGTTTGCCTGTCCAGGGGATGCAGGTATCAGGACACTCGTCGATGCTATTCAGGCGTCAGACAACACAATCTCTGAAACTTTCAACGTACGCGTAGGATCCGCCTCCTGGCCTCCCATCCCCACCACCCTCAGCTCCACCTCGTACTCCTTTCCCGGCATCAGCCCATATATCACCAGCACCGCTCGGTCTTTATCTCCTTTATGGTGCTTCTCGTCCTTCTTCTTCCCTGGTGGCTTACACGCCGCCTCCGCTGCTGACGCACCAAACCTTGCATTCCGAGGCCGACGACGAGTCACACCCTGCTCCATATTCTCCTCCAGCTCTTCGCTGGACGCAGGAGGGACAGACTCTGGATCATCCTCCCACTCATCATCGTCTTCGTCATCCATCACATTCGCAAACAAGTTGTTTGACTGCACTCCATTCACATAGACCAGTACACCATGTCGTAGCAGGTCTTTGAACGAGACGCCGCCGTCTGAATCTTCCACTTCGTGCTCGTCATCTTCACTGCCCTCGCCCTGGACCGCCGTGGAAAGCGCTGAGCCGTTTGCTTTCCGGCGATTCCGTTTTCGTTTAGAGTTGCTACTGGATTGAGACGGGTGGCCGTGGACGCCGTGGGCGTGGTGGGTGGACGGCTGGAGTGGTAGCGACGCGGAAGGAGTGAGGGAGAGCGAGACGGTGAGAGCGAGCGGGGTGAGGTCGAGGACGGTGAGGGTGAGTGGCCGTGTTTGTGGCGATACTGTCTGCCAGTGGAGGGTCATTGCAGTCGTACAGGGGGCGGAATAGGCTGGCACAATAGAAGAGTTCGGATGAAAGAGAAGATGGGCGGGTAATGGATTAAGGAAAAGTTGGATGCCTTATTTGGTCCCGCTAATGCCCTGCCTCCACTTTTCACCTCCATCCGGGTCCCAAAATGTTCCCCAGTATAGTTTTTGTTATTCTGTCAGTAAATCATTAAGATGTCCTCAAGTATCCCAGGGGTCAAGCAGAAGGTCATCGGCCTCGTCTCGGGCGGCAAGGACAGCTGCTTCAACCTCATGCACTGTATCGCCAACGGGCACGAGATTGTCGCCCTAGCTACTCTTACTCCCGAAGAGGGTATCGGTATGTATCTTTCCAATCAAGCGCGAACGATCCTGACTCTACCTACAGACGAACTCGACTCGCATCTGTACCAATCAGTCGGCACGCACCTCCTGCCCCTCCTCGCCGAATCCATGGACATTCCCCTTTTCACCGGCATCATCCGCGGCCACGCCGTCGAAAAAGGGCCCGAATACGGCTCCCGTCTCCGAGGCGGAGAAGGCAGCGGCGAGCAAGGCGACGAAACCGAAGACCTCACATCCCTTCTCCAAACCGTGCTCGCCAAACACCCGGACGCTACTGCTCTTGCATCTGGCGCGATCCTATCGACGTACCAGAGGATTAGGATCGAACATGTTTGTGGGAGGTTGGGGTTGACGAGTTTGAGTTATTTGTGGCAGAGTGAGCAGGGGCCGTTGTTGGATAGGATGTTGGGGAGCGGGGTGGAAGCTGTTATTATGAAAGTAGCTGGGGTTGGGTTGGGGCCGAGGATTGTTGGCAAGCAGCTTGGGGCTATCATGCCGCTGCTTTCGAAACTTGTAAGTTTGTCTATTGGCGGAGAATGTGTCTGATAGGTGGCAGGAAGCGCAATATGGCTCTCATCCTGCTGGAGAGGGCGGTGAATACGAGACTTTGACGCTCTCTACACCGCTCTTTTCGCACAGACTGAACCTTGTGGAGACAGAAGTCATCGTCACCGATCCGGAACCATACCCCGTCGCGTATCTCAAGGTGATCAAGGCGGAATTGGAGGAAAAGTCAGGATGGAAAAAGCCAACTGTGAACGAGCTCAGAGAGTTATTGGGTCTCGATGAAGAGCCGGGACTGGCCGGGCTGGATGAAGAAGGGCAGGAAAGGCTGGAAGAGCTCGGTTCTAGATCCATCGAACCTCTTCAGGACGAATTGGACTTGAGGTCTTTGCAAGTGGAAGACAAAGAAGATTATTTTGAGGTTCAGTTCGCTCAAAAGGGTCGTTGGTTTACCGTGGGCGTCCAAGGGCGCACTGTGCCCGATGAGGATGTTGGAGCAGAGCTCAAATCCTGCTTTGACGCCATCTCCAGTACGTCCCTCTGCCAGCCACTCTTTCCCATACCGCTATATCATGCTAAAAGTATACAGGAAAACTCCAATCCCAGAACCTCTCGCTCCCCCTCCACGCAGCCCACATAACCCTCCTCCTCTCCAACATGTCCCTCTTCCTCCCCGCCAACGCCATCTACAAAACCTATTTCGGCACCTCCCCTCCTTCGCGCGCTACTGTCGCCGTACCCCTCTCTTCCGGGCGGGTCCGCGTGGAAGTCGTCGGGTTCGACGATACGCCCTCCAAAAGTGGCGGGGGTAACGTCGGGGGCAGGTCGGCGTTGCATGTGCAGGGATTGAGTTACTGGGCCCCAGCCAATATCGGGCCTTACTCTCAAGCCGTGCTCGTCTCTTCCCGTCTCCATCTCGCCGGACAAATCCCCCTTATCCCAGCTTCGCTCACCCTCCCTTCACCTCCCCATGCGCCGTTGTCGGTGTATCCGCACCAAGCGACGTTGGCGTTACAGCATGTGGGCAAGATTTTGGGTGTTATGAGGAGCAAAAATTCGACGGGAGGGGGGTGGGGGGGGTGGGTGGAGAGTGTTGTGGGGTGGTGGGCTAGGACGGGGGGTGGGGGAGATGGGGAGGGGGTGGGTGTTGCGAGGGATGCTTGGAGGATATGGGCTGCGCGTGCAAGTCTTTCGATCGTACACTTGGAACGTTAGCTGATGGCAAGTCAGAATGAAGCACCCGAAGCTCCTGCGCTCTTTGTGCAAGCTAAAGAACTCCCTAAGGGTGCTCTTGTGGAGTACCAAGTCAACCTCCACACTGGACGTCGAGACCAGACCCTCCTCACACAAGGGAATGCTGACGACGATGATGACGATGACGAGTTGAAGGTGGTGTATGAACAATGCTCAGGAGAAGATATGTGGTGGGAGAGTAGCAGGACTGTTGGCAGAGATCTGGGCTGTAGGGGTATCGTTTTCGCCAAGGGTAATTGTATGCCTGCTCTGGTGTGAGTCGATGCTGATAGATGGTATAGATGTGAATGCGCTCGTCCGGTCTTCGGGTCCTGGGGACGCCAAGCTCGCACTCCTTCTCGCCAAAGCTGTCTCTATCAGAGTTTACCATACTCTTTCCATCGGTCCTGTTCAGAGTGCGTCGCCTCTACCTTCTCCCTGTTTGCACTAGTATGATCACTGACATCCGGATATTATAGTCCATTCGCTTCTACCGTCGCTTTCGCAAGCTGCGTTTACGCTGGTACCGGTGTGTTCAATACACGACCGACAGGGGAGAAGCGTGCCGCTGGCTTTGGAGGTGTTTGGCATTTGAGCTAGCAAACTGCATGTATGTAGCGTATGAGAGAAGCGTGATGTGGTCGCAGCTTGTTGTACTAAAGTATTAGATCGTTGAGATCGCAGCCAAGGAAAGTCCAGGCTTGGACGCGTCGCCTCCCTCTGTTAGCCCTCCCATGGATCCGTATGCATGCCAGACTCGCTGCATGGCCCCTCTATATGACACGTCGAGGCCAGTGACGGATGCATGGGCTGTGTTTTGTGCTGGTGCTGTGCCTGAATTCACGCCTCTTGTCAGTTGTCCTCCATCTAACAAACACATTTATTCTCTGTCTCTTGTTCTTCTCCAATCTCGCCCCCTCGCCCTCGCCCTCCCCCACGCCGCCCCCACGCCGCCCCCACTCGCCACCCGCGCATTCACCTCCGCACAGACCCCCTCCGTGTCCTCGCTGGTCGAGCGCAGCCCCTCCGCCAAACCCCTAACAAGGAACATCCCCCGGGCCTTCTCCATACAAGCATCTATATTCAGGCCACGCTTACCCTCTCCATCTCGCTATTCCACGCCCAACTTGAACCGCAAAGATACCGTAGCCGTTACTCGTCTAATCCCCCGTTGTCAGGTTCCATCTCCGTGTCAATCTTGCGACCGCTTCGGGGTCACTGAGCGAGGAAGCACCGCCCATCCAACCTATCGCCACTCCTTTCACCACACCTTTCGTCCATACGAAACTCCCTTTCCCCATCAATCGTCTATCGCACCTTCGCAGCGGTCCTCGACAGGCTCTTTTCACCACTATCCTCCTCCCACCGAGGATCAGTAGAGACGCGAGATGTGTTGTGAGGCTGATTGGAAGCGAGAGGTTGTGCCGGATCACAAGGTGAGTTGGTGATTTGGTCTGTGTTAGGGCTTGGGTGGCGCTTGATGGGCAATGGGAGTGTAGACGTCTCTCATAGAGGTGGCTTCTCCAAGAACCGCAGCTCATATCTTTTACAGTTTGACTTTATCAACGTCCGTGAATTCCACAAATCCGACTTCTGGACCAGGTTCAAATATGTCCTCCGATACGTCTTTCTCCTCAAGTCCTTCGCCGTCTACGGCTTGGACATTTTTTCCGCTGTTACCATGATTTCATCCTCCCACGTACGCCTTGTCTGCTCTTGGTATCCGGCGAGATGCTGATGAAGGGTAGTGGACCAACGCGATTACTTCCAAATGTGACGACAGCGACGACTGTCCTGTTGAAGTGCAGTTCAGTATTGCCAAATGGGTCTTTGTTGGCTGTATCATCTTCTCTTTCCTCCTCGTGAGTGTTATATCAAAGGCGAGGTTAGTAGCTGACCAGGCCAAAGCTCGGCTACGAGTCGTACAAGGCAAAGAAAGTCGTCGATTCGAGAGACATCTCTTACGCGTTTACCAACCTGTTGGCAAACGACTACTACTGTTTCAGTGCGTACTGCCGTTTCACGCAAAAGTCGATGCTTACTCTTCGCAGAAAACTATGACAACTTTTGTCTCTTTTGCCAGATCGAGTCTTCCACCAAAAAGAAAGATGACTTTGCCTTTTTCGTCTTCTTCGCTTTCAAAAGTACGCTTGCACCTCTTCCTCTCATTATCCCAACCTGACAATTAGTAGACTGGAAACGTCTCCTCCTCGCCGACGGCCCACGTCAATCCATCAACGGCATCCTCCTCTACGCCTTCGCCTCCGCCAACGATTTTCAAACATCCGACATCCCAGCTTACTGGGACGGATCCGCAGTCACCGCCCTCCTCCTCTTCTCCATGATCTTTACCGTCCTCATCTTTGCCGGTTCCCTCCTCATGCTCCTCTTTGCCGCCGTCGCCTACGTGCCCCTGCTCTGCTATATAAAAGGCAACTTGAAAGAATACGTGTGCCACAAGGTGGACAAGCGGATTACAGATTTGATCAAGAAGAAGCAGAAACACAGGATTGCGAGGGCGGCGGCTAGTGAAAAGTCGCGCGGCGGCGCTGGGGGCGGGAGTGCAAAGGAAGGTATGGGCGGATTGCCCCAGCCTACTTTACCTCAGGTATCCCTAGACGACGAGGGTGACAACGCCTCCCGTGCCCGGTCCAAAGCCGAACGCCCAGGATTCAATGTCCCCAACGCATTCGACTCTTCCGCCAATGCGAGCTACGATTCTTACGACGTCTATGAGCCCAGTGGTGCATACGCAGAAGATTATGGATCGTCGGTCAGCCTAGCTGCCAATGCTGCGCCTTTGGGTATCTCGTACCCGCCCTCCGCCGTGGCTGGTGCCCCCTCTTTACAGCCGAATTACTTGACTGGTGCGCTGCCGAATCCGTACTCTCCAGCACAAGGCGCTTTCCCAGCTTCGAGGTCGAATGGGAGTCTGAAAGACTACACGACGGGCGGGGGCCAACCCTCTGGCAGGGTATCCCCCTACGCCCAAAGCGGCCCTCTCTCCCCTTCCCCTTACGGCCAGAACGGCCGCATGTCCCCCTCTCCCTACGGCCAAAACGGGCGCATGTCCCCTTCACCATACGGCGCGCAGAACGGGCGTGTCTCGCCCATGCCGTATGGAGCGGAACAGGGGTATAGTCATGTGAAGCGCGAGTCGGCGGGGACTGGGGGTACGTATGGGGGTTATCAACAGGGTTATCAGACCGCGCAGAATCAACGGCAAGGGGGGCAGCAGGGGTATTATAATGGAAGTGGGGGAGGAGGGAGCGCTGGCGCTGGGTATGGGTATGATAATAGACAACAGCAGCAGCAGTGGAGATGAGCCCCTTGATGGGGTCGTTTTTGCGGCGCTGGTGGATGGTCGTTTTACGTTTATTTACGTTCTGGTTGTCGTACTTGTACCATGTATTTATACACTTTGATACCATGGCGGGTAGCGCTACAGGCTACACAGATGTTGGAATCAAGAGAAGGAGATGATGGTGCGCTAGATTACAGAACCAAGAACCCAAGAAAGATATATACCCCCATCACCACAAACCCGCCCCACGACACTCGTCTAGCATAAGCACCACTGGAAATCCCATTGGGCACCGGTACCCCAACAGCATTCGTCGTCCACCCCCCGCTCTTCACTGTCGTCGTCACATCACTCGGCCCGATCTTTACATCACTCGTCGTCGTCGTCTTGGCTCCCGTCCATGTATTCTCTGCTAAACTTTCTGAAGCTGAAGAGGATGAGGAGGGGGAAAAGCCGATGGTAGTGACGGAAGAAGGGTTGGAAGAAAAGACGTTGATGTAGTTGATTTCAAAGTAGGCTTGGGCGTAGGTGGTGGATTGGTCGTTGATTACGTAGGTTGTGTAGCTGTATGATACTCAGAATATGTTGTTCAGAAGTGGAATTGGGAGTTGAGCGTACCAAGTAGCATCGCCTACGAGAGCAGGGCAAGTTTGTTCCAGGAGAGCTGGGATACCGGCGAAATCTCCACAGAGAGCGATGTTGATAGTCAACGTTTGGGCTTTGCCTCGAGTCAGCTTGGCAAGATATGTGAATGTCGAGAGGGATAAGCTTACGCGAAAATGCCTTGTCGATCTCACAAGTCGAAGCGAGATACTCTGCGACAGGTGTGCCGAGAGTGGATGTGTCGAGAGAGGAGGCATCCACTGTTAAAGATTCTGGGACATCGGCTCTCTATAACTTTGCGTCAGCTATGAAGAGTGACGACAGAAGAGATGAGAAGACATACAGTGATAAACCACACTCTGATCCAATCTTCCGCATACTCTCCCACATACACGCCTCCTCCGGCCTCCGCAAACCCTGCGCCATAACTCTTCTCATTCTCATCCTTAACAGTACACCCCGCACCGTTATTCAGGCTATTATTACAATCGTTGTTTTCCACGGTACCCGAGAAGGAGGAGGTTGAAGAGGAGTCGACGGTGCATGTGGTGGTGTTGGAAGTATGGAGAGCGATCACGTTTGTAACTTGGTTGTTGATACCTTCCATGATATCGATCTCGCCGCCTTCTGGCCAATTGGCGCCCTCTGCCCTACCGTCAGCCCTTCTTGCCCAGCTTTCCAAGAACACTCACGGGTCCAAAATGCAGGCCATACACTACACCCATAAGGCATATGAACCGCATCCATCACCCAAACAGTACCGACGTCAAAGAGCGATTTGCTCAGCAGTTTGGGGGCGTAGCGTTTGGAATCGTAGGCGACTGAGGAGGTGTTGTCGACGGCGAGGATGGTGGTTCCCGAAGAGGTGGTTCGGAGGAGAGAGGTGTTTTGGGCCGTTGCCCAGAAAGTGTAGCCGCTTTGTACATGTCAGTATGCCTTGCTGGGGAGAGCCTGCGGGAGATGTTGGTGGAAGAGGGCGTACTTTGTAGTGTTATCATATGTCTCTGCTGGAAAACGGAATCCATCGCTACGACCAGTCAGCTAGCTCCTACATCTAAAAGATCAGTCTGGACTTACAAAAAACCATCGCCATGCCATGATTCCACCAACGGATAGATTGTAGCTTTCGTCTGTGGCACCCTTGTTATGACGAGCAAGACTGATAGCAGCGTGAGCATGGTGCAACTATCGCCGTTCTTTTGGATTGTGAAGCACTGATAGAACAGGGTGGCAAGAAATCTATTCAGCCTGGCGTTTTTCGCGAGGACAATACACGGTGACATTGATGGCGATCAATGGGTTCTTGGTTGTGTGTCTCGTTCGTGGACAAGTCGCAATTGCTATTGTCCGATGGTGAGTCACTCGTTGTTCCTTCGGGGCGGTCGCCAAGTTCGATGCATGAACTGCTTGGATGCTTGTGACCTTTCTGGGCACTTCTGGAATCCTATTGAAGATTGCATGTATGTATGAGCGGTTAGGACACAGCATCAAGGAAACCATGTTGAGTGAAGGACTTTTGGAAAACAACAGCCGTGATGATTCAACATAATCGTGATACAAGAACGGCTCGCTCTTAGAGATATATAACAAGGAGGCAGAACAGAAAGTTCCAGGTGTCAAGTAGCTGTTGGGGCAGGTCACGAGTTGGACTGTGACAATCTTCATGATCTGAACGTGATTCAACCTGGACCCAACTCCGCCACAAATCCCGACATCTCGCCTTCGAACGCAACAAGTTCATAGCCCAAGAGACAGACCTGGACCCATGTCCTTGAGCGATTACTAGTTCATCAACTGGGTACACTACTGTTGACAATACCTGCCGTTCTATATACCGTCATCATTCTGGCACCACCCTCCTCGTTACATGCTCTTGACCTTCTCCTATTTCACTGTCGCTGTTTCATCAACCCATCTTTTCGAATACGTTCCCAACCTCCCCCCGTTGTTGCTCATACGTATGACTGCTGAAACGAAAAGGCTAGATCACCGAAACAGGCGGGCTGCTCTTTCGGCAGGGGATCGGCAGCTTCGGCAGTACACTGCGAAAGCTACAAACCTTTCCCCGGCCGATATCAGTCAGATATAGGCGTCTGAACATATGCATGACCCGACCAGCTCTTACATACAAATGTTCCTGACAACTCACAAGTTGCAAGTGGCAGAAAGAAGAAACACCAACCATCGGCCATCGCCCTCCTCTCCTCTGTCCTCGCTGCTCGCTGTCTCAGCATCGTGGTGGCCGCATCTTATCGGCCGACTCCCCTATCAAATCTCAAAGAGGAGACTAAAAAAAGGCTCTGAGGACTGAGAGTGCCACATTCCCCTCCCAATTGACCAATCGGTGATAGGCGATAAAACGTCTTCTAGCGCATGGGTCGAAAAATTTTGTGTTGTGGGCATGCATGTGTCGGGGCTTGTCGATAGTGGGTCAGTTTTCCAGAACCCTTTCAGGTAGCGGCCAAGGAGTGTAAGTAAATGTTAATAAATGTTAGAATGAAGGGTAAAATGAAAATTGAGACGAGATGAGATAAAAGATTGTTCTCGGGTTTTGATGGATGGCTCGGTTGGTGTTTGATAGGCCAGACCTATTCTGGCCGATGATGCGAAGGTGCGAAGAGGTACATGTAGCTCGGTGCTATGCATGGCAGCAACTCTATTCCTATCCACTTGGTGGATATAGGGTATGTTTGTGGCCAGATGAGACCCGCCAAACTTACTCTGCGTGGCATACGAATGCACAACGCTGTGGCACAGAAAAGGCAAAGAACGATGGCAACGTGGGCAACTGATTTGATATAGATGAGATTACGGCCCCCGAGAGGCCCGAGATTCCCCAAGTACGGCTGTACGGGCGACTGTCCGATCTCCGATTATCTCCTTATCCTCTTTTCACGCCATTGGTGCGTCGTTAAAAGTTGCCTAAAGGGGTAATTATGGGGTGTTTTCGTCCCTTGAATATTGAGGGGCGATAACGCCGAAGATGAGAATTGAAGGTCCGATTGGGAGCGATGGGAATGTGTCTTGGACGCTTGGGAGTTTGTCTTGCCGGAGTGGGGACCGGCTTTCTTTGACCAAGATGACTGGCCGCTTTGGGTAGACATGTATAATAATAGACGCCGCTGTGCGCTGCAACATTTTGCATGAGATCTGACGAGATTTGCTTGTTTCCCGCGATTGCGATTGCGTTTTGCGGGGTCGCTTGTTTGTGGAGTTTCGCGGTTAGATTTGTATACGCCATGTGGTCATTCGGGTTTGTGCATAGGCCAGCGATCCACGATCATCTCTTGCACCATACCATCGCCCCCCTTCCCATGCATTGCCGGCGCCATCGCAGTGTCTTTGGGGGAGTGCCACAAACAATCCCGCGCGAGATTGCCTCGGAGATTCCCGCATTTGGGTTATCCTTATCCTGGCTGCCGATAAAAGAACTGAAGCAGCAGCTGACCGGGACTGATCTCGTGATGGCTGCATACAGGTATGACGAATCTCTGCCCAGATCGCGGGCTGCAGGCTGCAGGCTGCGAGTCGTTGAGCGTGGCGGCGGGTATCCAAGAGCAGCGGGGGAGTGCGAAGATACGGGGATGGTGCGATTTGTTATGGCGAGATTATCTCTGCATCTGTGCCCAAGAGTCGCCGAGTGCCGATCGCAGCGAGATCTATGCAGCACGCAGGAATGGCCAGCAGTATGCAGTGGGGACATGCATGGGCTTATCGTGGCCGGGGGGGGTTCGAAAAGATGCATTGATTGGGCTGACTGATCAAGAGATACGATAGCGGAAAAGGTGCCACGTCCGCGGCGAGGGGCGGTGTGATCTCTCTTATCGAATCTCGCTTCAAATCCTTTTCTCATCCTTTTCATCATCTCATTCTCCTCTGCTGCCACCCAGCGACCTGCCCCTGCCCCTGCCCCTGCCCACCGCCCGCCCCCAGCCACCCAGCGTACCACCCATACCACCCGCTCCTTGGTTCTCGCACCCTATCTGACCCATCATTGGCACAAAAAATCCATTCATCCGTGAGTAGACTTTAGAGTCATACCCCAGCCCCCGCCTTCGACATGCCCTCCTTTTATCGTGATAATGGCGATTGGCACATGACGACTTGGCCAAATTGCCCGCGAAAACGGTATATATCTCTGTGGCGCGTACTCTGTTTTCCGCGCTTGCCACCCATACATCCACATCCCTCCTCCCCCTTCTCGCGTGAAAAACATGGCAAGCATCTACTGACATCCCTACCCCACTCTTAGGATCCAAAAAAAAAACAATGTCTGACACGCAATCTCCTCCCCGCCCGGGCGGAGGGCGTCCCGATTCCACGCTCGGCGACCAATTTGAATCCCGCTTTGCACCCCAGTGGCATGTCGGGTTCGGCAGTTCGAACGAACGCGGTGGGGCTGATGAAGAGACTGTCGATACCTCGCCTGCTACCACCCGCCGACCGAGCCCTTTGCCAGAGGCCACGTCCGCACCCGCTGCGCACGAAAAGGAAGTAGAGAGAGAAGCGTCTACGATGGAAGAGCTGGACGAGCTGGATGAAGACTCTCCCGCGCCGGTGCATGACCGACATGAAGAGGAGAGGAAAGCGAGGCAACTTATGGAGGAAGATGCGCACCTTGCCAAGAGGAGAAAACGTGTGTATATTATGGACATATGAAGCATGGGCTGACGTACGCAGAACACCCACACGGCTCGTCTCTCCCCTCGCCGCCACCTACTACTGTGCCAGCTTCTGCCCACCACCTCACAGCGGGATCTTGCCCCGGTGACGGGAGGTGCAATGGCGCGGGAGGCAAAGCTGGATGCGAAGGTTGCCCGACTTACAACAATTCCATCGCCTCTGGCCTCGTCTCTGACCGTGCGCCCCCGACCCACGGCCATCCCCACTCCGCCCCCTTGTCGGAAGGTATCGATCGCCCGCGATATCATGAAACCGAAGGCAGGCCATACGGACTGGACAGGTTTATGGAAGGCGTCAACAACAACCTCGGCCGACCTACTTCTCTCCCGTCCCCCTCGCCCGACCATGTGGTGCAGCGTCAGCATGAAAGCCCGGTGACGACCCAGCCGTTGCAACACCCCGGGTCTGACAAGGGTACGCCCTCGAGGTTTAGTCCTGATAGCGATGATGCGCCGGCGGGCACGACGAATGGTTCCGGTTTGGCTGCTACGCCTGTTGGTATGAGTTGTCGGAATTGCGGGACGAGTACGACGCCTTTGTGGCGACGTGATGAAGAAGGCAGGCCGCAGTGCAATGCCTGTGGTGGGTCTTTTTGTCTAACGTTTTCAAATGGGCTGATGGGATGTAGGACTGTATCACAAACTTCACGGTGTCCCGCGCCCTGTCGCTATGAAAAAGACCGTCATCAAGCGCCGAAAACGTGTGCCTGCTGTCAGCAGCGGGGCCACAGCGACCCCAAGTTCGTCGACTACCCGCGCCATCACCGCCGCGCCCGACCAGCCTTCGCCCGTACCCACCACGGCCCAAATGCCCAGCGTCACCGCGCCCCCAGCGCATGTGCCGCCGCCTATTGAAGACAAGATGCGCGTGGGCTCACCGCCTTATGCCCATCGAGCGCCGCCCTCGCAGCACCATACCGACCACCGGGGCCATCATCCCCACGCGCAAGAGTTTATCCAGGGTCGGTATGCCAAGCCGAGCTCGAATTCGGGCAACCCGGGACAGGGCAAGAAGTGGTGGAATGATGGAAGGGATCGGGAGAAGGAGGAGAAGGATAGGGAAGCGAGGGAACGAGAAGGCGTGAGTTGTATTTCCTTTCGGTCTGGCAGGGGTTCTTTCTCCCTTTTTTGGGTTTGGGCATGTGTCCGTTCTTTTCGGCGTTGGAGATGGTCGGGTGGACCGAAGATGACTCGGAAAGTCTGGATTGATAAGAGTCAATCCGGGTGTCCCATTGTTCTTGTGCTCCTCCCGAGTCGTCGAGGTCCTTCCCGTAGGAATACTCGTACACATCCTTTCTGCCCAATCCCCCTCCTTTTTGTGTCTATGCCCTTTGTCTTTTCGTGTCTTCTCTCAGAGGTCGTCCACCTCGGAAGGAATAATAAGCCATCTCGCGCTCTTTCCTTCTTGCTCGTAACAATGTCGGATACGATTCCTCTGCCTCCGCGATTCATGCCCGACCGCCCCACCTCTGCGCCCGAACCGAAGCTGACGAGAACCTCCCTCTCTCCTCTCTCCAAATCGCCCATGTCCACCGTCCGATCATCACCATACCCATCTCGCCACTCTGTCCCTCTCAAATCTACCACTACGAAAATCGACAATGACCATGATCATGAACTCTTACGCCGTTCCTCGCTGCCTACTCGGGATCAGATGGCCCATCAGCTTGCTGCTGAAGCGCTCTTGACCATGGCTCCCTCTGCCAGCAATGCTTCACCCGGAAAGCGGGCGAGCGCCACGCCAGCAAGAGGCGGGGATGTGGAGATGGGCGAGCCGGAGCAGAGGGGGGTGAAGCGAAAGTCTGATGTAGATGATGCGAGAGAGAGGGAGAAGGAACGGGAAAGGGAGAGGGAGCGCGATCCGAGACATCCTGCGATGAGCCTCGGCTTGCACGGGATGGATAGGGACAGAAACAGGTCGAAGGAATGGCCCAACTCGCCCCTTCCTCTCGCTGAACGCCCTCATGCCCTTCCCGGCTCTAGGCTCGTCCAACCTCCGACCCACGGCAGCCCAGCGTACCCCCCAGGCCAACCTGGAGCGCCAAACAGGTACTCTGTCTATGGCCCGACGACGAGGGATCCGATGGCTGGTAGCTCGCCGTACTCGTTCAATGCGTCGAGGTATTCGAATTTGCATGTCAGGAGGGATATGTCGCCTTCGATTGGCGCTGGAGGGAAGGGAGTATCGCCCCCTAGGAGAGCGTCGCCTGTTCCTGGGTCTGATCCGAGGGATAGGTTCTACGGCAATACTTCTACTTCGGGCCCTATCACCGCCACCGCCACCGCCACATCTGCCGCTGGCGCCGTTCCCGGCGCGTATGGCCACTACTCTATGGGCCGACGCGAGCTCCAAGAACACCGCGAACAACTGAAAGAAGGCAAACGCTGGTTGGAAGCGATGCTGGCCAAGACAGAAAAAATGCTGAACATGGTGGAAAACAAGATTGGCTTGACTGTCGATCTGCCGCCCGCCCCGCCCGCTCATGGTCATCCAGCGCAAGAGAGGCATGTGTCGGGTTCGTCCGTGCCGCCGAATGTGAGCCCCAATGCTGCTCCAGGCCAGCCCAGGTCGCAAGAAGACTGGGAGTACGAAGAGCGGGAGCGTAGGCGGGAGAAGGAGATTCTGCGTTTGGAGCAGGAGCGGGAGATGGATATGGTCGACAGGGAGAAGAGGGAGAGAGATAGGGCGGCGGCGGCGGCGATTGCTGCTGGGGTGTTTGATGAGCATCGGGGCAGGTCTAGGGAGGCGGGAGAGCATGAGCAGAATCGGGATCGGCTCTTGGCTAGTCGCAGAGTCTCTGCCATCTCGCCTGGACCTGCGGGCCCCGGTAGGTCACCAAACCTTTCCATGAGGAACGCTGGGATTGCCAGGGAGAGGGAGAGCGAGGGACCGGCCGGTGAGAGGGAGAAGACGAATGGCCCTTTGCCTGTCAATGGCGTGCCGAAGAGGGAAGGCAGCAGTCAGTGGGATGGAGAGCCGGTTTTGGCTGGGGTGCCTTTGCCCAGGAGGGAGAGGGAGCAGCAGCAGAACGGTGCCGGGAGGACGCTGGGCCGGGGTCTTTGGAGCTTTGACGTGAGGAGCTGAGGGATTATATAAGATTCTGATTAGGGTGTACGATGAGGGGATTCTGGTAAAGATAGTATAGTAGGTATATCCAGCGCTGTTCTGCGTAAATGTAGCTTCTAAATGCATGAGAAGTGTACCGCCCATCGCATTACCGCTCGCACAAACATTGAGGAGAGTAGCTGCCTCCACCTCCGCCGTCGCTCGCTATCATCGCTGCTGTTTTCGTCTTTCTCTTTTTGCATCCTTATTCAAATGTCGGCCCAAGCATCCTCGTCTCAGTCAGTCACAACACGGCCCACTGCCCATGGCCAGGGGTCTAGTGCACCGCCGACGTCTCTCCGGCCGATCAAGAGCGCGAGTGGTTTCGAGTTTCCAGCCATGTGGAGCTTTCCTCCCTTCTTCACGTGAGTCTCTCGACTACCCATCCCTGACATGACTGTCACTAATAATGAGGGGAGGATAAGGTACAGCGGCTGACTGAAGTAAACTGTTGTAGCTTGCAGCCAAACCCTCAAACGCTCGCACACCAGCTCCTCCTATGGCGCAATCTCTTCTTAGAATGGGCGAGACATGAGAGGGTGTTTGAGGTGAATGTGGATAGCGCGGGGAAGGATGTTCTGGGGGTGTTTGCGAATAAGGGTATAGGACGTGAGTTGCTTCGCCCGAGTCCGCGGGGTGTAGGTGCTAATGGAGGATCGTCAGGGCGACTGTTACCGCCGAGTGTGAAGACATTGATGGGCGAGCTGGTCAAGAATGGTATGTCTTCATCAAAACACCCTCCTAGTAGTCAGCTCACTGTTATGGTACAACAGGCGAGGCAGCACCCGATCCGCCGAAACAAGATACCCACTATCTCATATACTGGCGGAAACCCGAAGAATGGGGAGATATCATCTATCACTGGGTAAGTCTTTCTCCTCCATATACGCTGGTGAAAGGGAAGCTCATGAGGTCTGGCTGTGTAGGTTATGGAGAATGGGCTGAATGCGAGTATCATGACGTTTTGGGAGATCACAGATGGAGACCTTTCGGAGACGACTGGTAAGCCTCAACCACGTCTCACCCACTGGCGAGTTCGAATAGCTAACGAGTTTGAGCAGAGTTCAGACAACTCCCAGTGTCTATACTACGCAAAGCCCTCGAATCCTTGGTCAAACGGAATAGAGCGCAGATCTTTGAAGGTAAAGGCGAAGCTGGAGAAGGTGTACGGTTCTTCTAGAGCTATGTACTGCTGGGATGCGGTGGGGACGTGGTATATTTCATGGTTCTGGGTTGTATCTGTTACATTCATGGAGATTTGCGCATAACTGTTGTACGTCCACTGCAGCCTCTCCCCCGACAATCCGACTACACGAAACCACTCCCACCACGCTTGGCATCAATCCTCTTGAACCTCACACTTATCCCTCGCTACAATTGCCCGCATATCAGCTTATTCTTTACACCCCTCCTGTGAGGATGTGAAGACATACCTCGTTGATCAAACAGACAGTAGCCAAGAAGAATGAAACGAGAATGATTTCAAAACCATAAACGGTGGAAAAAATGGTTTCGAGAGTGAAATCTGTCCCGGGGGAGGAGGCGGATGTGACTAAGAAGCCTGGTGTTGGTTTACTGTTGTCAAAGGGAGAGGGGGAGAAGGACGTACTGGTATTTTGACAACCAGTCTGAGCAGCTGCAAATGTCGCGTCGGAACAAAATCCAGCTGTTGTTGAGAACCCTCCTTCTGCCGTGCCATTACTGAACCCCGTCGTTCAGCTCGACTCTCGCGTCTTTGAAATTGGACGTACAAGTAGCCACAGCAGGAGAATTCATCTTGGATAGTCTGTTGGATGGTGGATGTCTGCGCTTTCCAGACGTTGGAGAAGGTATTCAGCTGTTCCAGTGAGAGGACCCAGAAGATACTTCCAAACTACACATCCTTCGTCATCAGCCTCACAATCACAGAGAGAGGGAAGGGGGCGTACGGCGAGGGTGACAGCCATACATCCGACAAGCCACCAGTTGAGGAATTTGAGCATCACCGGGTTCTCGAACGATGCCATGAAGGCTGGGACGGAGACGATACAGCTCATTATGTAGATCACGCCCATGCCGATCCCGACTACAAACACCCCATTTCAGCTCTTGAAACTTGCCAACCAAGGTGAATGGGAGATGCGGACGCACGTTTGAAATCCACTTTGGTGGCGATCATGTTGAGGAAAGGGTGTCCGGCGCTGTTGAAGATGACAGAGGCGACGATAGAGATGACGCCCGCGGCCAGTAGCAGGAAGGCAAAGACGGCCCAGACGATGTTGAGGATGCGCATGGTTGCTGTTTTTGATTATGAGATGGTGTAGCAGAGGATGATAGGACCGGAACAAGAAGATGGGTGTTAGGGAGGGTGGAAGAGGACAGAAGAGACCAGCTCTAAAGTGTTGAAGGGAAAAGGTCGCGCCAGGCGAAAGAAGAATGGGACAGGAAGAAAGAAGCCGGTGGGCTTGAGTCGTCACAAACGACACTGTCTTGCAGGTATACGGCCAGTCCTTGAATTATTAAAGTATGAGAAGAAAAGAGAAAGGGAAAGAGAAAGAGATGTCTTTAATCATATCGTGTTTCCCAGACGTCCTCCCCGTTCCTTGCTCGCCTCCCTGGAGCCGCGCAGATCGTGTTAGTGACCATCTCGAGGCGGACAAGGTCAATGGCTCGAGTGCACTTGCGTGTTGTGGTGTTGGTGCCAGTAGAGTGCAAGGAGAGAGTCGGGTCGGGAGGCGGTGTTGCTTGGATACTCTGGCGGGGGTGCGTCTTGACGACGAGGGGCGACAACGGTGCGAGGAAATGTCCTCGCGTTTCGTAGTATTACTTACAGATAGTCCATATTATTAGGGGTTGGGCGTGCTACATACTAGATGAGTGGGCTGTTGTCGGTCGGACGAAAGAACAACAAACGACATGAAAAGCTCGGTGAAAGTCATCAGCGGTCGGTATGGCGGCCGAGACCGCCACAGATGCCCCCACGATCTCAACGCGGTCTGCCAGCGCCAGTTCATAGAGCATCGTCTGGAGATCGCCCGACTCTTGCTTCATCTGTCTACAGTCTCGACCTTCATACCCCATCTGGACCATGCAGCGGCTGTCGGGTCGGCCCGTTCGAGTCGCGTGACCCAATGATGCTGGACCTGATTATGGACAGGTTACAGTCTTTGGCGAGTCCGGGGGCGCTGCTGTCACTTCCCTATTGTTCCTTGACCCAGGGACGGAGCTGTTTGCTCAGGCTGTGAGTAATCCCACCAGGACCGATGACTAGCGCTCATGCGACCTTCGATAATGGAAAGTGGCTCTCCCTCCTCCTCGCCCATTGGCCCTGCAGACAGCACATGGGAAGACGCCAACCTACCAAGCTCTCCACGAATTGCTCCGGTCATTCGAGCTCGTCAGACAATCTCACGACCGAGGACAACACAACCTACACTTTTCCTTTCGAATGCCTTACAGCCCTCCCAGGAGAAAAGCTCCTTGCCGCCCAGATCAGTGTCAAGAATCATACACAGTTCCAGTCGGGATTCATCTTTGGCCCAGCGATAGACGGTGATTCTATTAGATATACGGACAGAGTGATAGAATATGTTTCTGAAACGATGAAAAAGACAGAGGGGACAGTGAATTGGAGCATCTCTTCGAGTATTTATCCCCTTGGGAAGTCGAAAACGATCGCCAAACAGGGTCACAGGATCCTCGGGCTCAGATCTCTAACGCGGCTCACCCTGGCTGGACGCAGTATTTGGTCCCGCTAAGCAAGCCCTCATAGCACTGTGGACGATCAATGCTCATGTATACTGTACGAGTACCTTTCCGATTGGACTCGATCGGGTTATCCACAGTGACATCCAATTACAATGCAGTTTTCAAATATCATACTGTACGTACAAGTACTCGTAAGAATCGAAAAGAAGATTCTATCAAACTTGACCGACATGAAGATGAGTGTGATAGCAAGACCAAGCAAATATACGAACATTAAACAAACGCTCATGTTCCTGCAAGATCAAGATCATCAACGCACTCTCAAAGCTAATGAGTCGACATATCAAAGGATCGCCTTTCGTTGAACACAGTAGGGTTGTTCACCAAGTACAACATCGCCTCCTCCCGATAATCGTCCGTGAACAAGGTAACGTTGTTCGCAAGAAGACGGAGGATTTGCTTGTCGTCAATGTTGTGGGCGGGCCAGTAAGTAGCGTTGGAGGACGAAGTACCGTCAGGGCCGTTGGGATCAGCGTAATAAGCAAAGTTGAGCCTGGTACTGCGTCAGTATACATTCCGACCGAGTATGGTACCGGGACGAATGCTCACCAGTACTCCATTATACTGTTAGAAAATATACTATCGGCTTCGGTGTAGTTCATGGAGATACCTGCCATCCCGATCCCTGGCCTTGCCGTACCGTAGACAAATGGAATCTCGCTCGCGTGGAACACTGTATTATCGTCGGATGAGCATCATCCTGAAGCCGGGTGGAACTTTTGAGACAAAGGATGCTTACCACCATGATACTCAGGGCTTGCAGGTGTAGGCTGTTCAAACTGGTAGGTCCATGTCTTGGCATTGCCGTTTTGATTTGCCTGCCTCAAAAAGTATCGGCGCTGAGCTTGGAAGTGGGCATCACCGAAGATGGCAGCGAACTGCTTATAAGAGGGATCAAGACCAAAGGTTTCGTTTCCAGTATCGAATGGTCTAGTGGGAGTTGTCAGTGACTTATGCTGGAAGTAGTGAGATTTGCTTACGAGCCCAAGGTAGTGTCATTTGGATAGTAGCGCAAGAGTTCTGCGAGAGTCTCGTTACTGAGGCCGGTAGGCTCCGACAAGTTGAGAAACAGAAGTCCTTCGGTAGTGCCGGAAATGGTCGATGGTACAAAGAGTGTACCTCTGCCCCAGTGATTAGCTTGGGATCGACAGTTAAGGACGGACAGCTTACTCGTCTTTGTTGCTACCGGTGATGAACGGTTTGTTTGCGACCTTGCCTTGCTCTATGAGGGAATGAGGAGAATCAGGAATGAGATCGCCATCTATCGTCGGTCCATAAATCAAGCCTATTTGGAACGCCGGCATATTCTTAACAAGGATCTGTGCGGCAAGGATATTTTCGGCCGGGAGGGCTCGAAGACAGTCGAAGGGGGACGACGTGCCAGTTGCGTTGAAGCCGGTTCCGTTGGCAGATGTCTCTGTGCTGGGAGAGATGGTAGAGTTGCTGGAGCAGTTCGAAGCCAACAACAAGGCTTCGTATGCGGGTTCCCACGTACTGGCTTCAGGTCCAATCGCCGAGGACGAGGGGGCACCACTTTCCATGATCTGAATATTGCTCAGCGCCAGCTAACAAATTGGCAAGCCCACTTACTGCTTGACTGAAAAGCTCGGTCTCGGGATCGAGGAATAGCAGTGAAGTTGATATAGCGCCGGCAGACTCGCCAAATACAGTAACCTGTCCAACCGTAAGCAGCTGCATGGCCTATCATACTGCTCGCCAACGTACCGTTTTTGGGTCGCCCCCAAAGGCCCAAATATTCTCTTGAACCCAGCTGAGAGCCAACTGGATGTCGCGGAGACCGAGGTTGGTGGCGTTGTTCTCTGCGAAGCCAGATCCGACACCCCATCCAAATGCGCCCAGGCGATAGTTGAGGGCAACGTGAACGATCGGTCGATCCTAAGGCACAGCGATGTCAGTCTGCTGCATCATTTGAAGACAATCAATGACGTACAACTTCCTGTCCGTGTGCGATGAGAAAAGAAGCGTTATAGGCAGTTACAGCCCCGGAAGTGAAGGACCCTCCATAACTAGCGACGTATCAGCATGTCGTCCAACAGCCACCATCAAACGCAAGTTTTGACTCACACCCATACCATGACAGGATACTGTTCATCGGTGATGTTGACACCAGTAGGAGTCATGACGTTGAGAAACAGACAGTCTTCTGAGATATCGGTTCCGTAGGATAATACCCCGGTGCTGAGGTCTTGCATACATGCCGCCGGCGAGGTCTGGGCGGCGTAGGAGCTAGTGTTGTATGTGTATGCCTCGGGCGGGGCAAATCGGAGATCATCAACAGCTTGGGGAAAATGTCAGTCACGCATCATATCAATCCCACAGAGATACTCACGAGGCTTCGCAAAGGGTATCCCGAGGTAGGCATCGGTCTTTAGATTCGGATATGTGGTGCCTACGATCTCTATGGGCTGACCCTCGGATGTATTGGGATAGATGGTTGCTGTAGGGGCTGCGGCGGCTGATGTAGCATTGGATGTCGTTTCGTTCTGTCGCGCATAGAGAGGAGATGCTGCAGAGCTGCTGCAGAGGAGACCTAGAGCAACAAATGAGTGCTGTAGACGCATGGTGGCAGTGCGTAGAGAGAAATAAGTAAGAGATTGATGGAAAGAACGAAAGAACGGAAGGTGTCAGACATTGGACACCGCATAGGCGCTACCTTTTTTCATTTTGCTTCCGGACTGACTGACAAAGCTGAAGCGGACACGCCCGGACCTTTCAAACAAGTCCATCGCACCTAGGGGGCGGCTACTCCTACTAGACATGCGTCGTCCGGTCCGGCAGCCCTTGGAAAAGATCGCAGAAGATCTCGAGAAGTGGAACCCGGGCTCGGCCACCCGCGCCACAAGGCACTTGCTAATCATTTTCTATCATCCAGCTGATCCCGCTAATACGCAGGTAATACGCAGCTCTAATCTTTTCTAATTGCCAGGTTCTCGCGTAATCTCCGTCGGGATGCCTAGCTTTGCATCCGATCTCTACAGGTCGTGGACGTTTCATGGGGATGAGAGACTCGCACAGCATGGTTGCCAAATCCGATGAATGTGTTGCCAAACCCTGAAGCACCAGTAATCCGAGGAGGAAGGCGGCGAGCGGCTGGAGAACGCTTATCACATCATCAAAATAATCTACAGTCTGGGAAGAAGAGGAGGTGAGGGCGAGAAATCACAATGGCGATGTATAGATTGTCCAGTCTAACTATGCTACACAACTATAATTAAAGCAAAGACCCCGTATTGCTTCCATTCGAAAAGGAGAATGACGGAAGAAATTATCATAATCCAACACCGACACCAACGCCCACGCCAACGCCAACACCGATGTTCAGATCATCTCGCTTCTTGATTTCGGCATCCAGAATACCCTTTCCGGCTGCCACAACGTCAACTTTGAGTTTCAGATCTCGCTTCAGCCCAGCACCAACGCCGACACCAGCTTCGAGGTCTGATTCTCGCTCCAGTGCGAGATTGAGCCCAGCACCGACGTCGACACCAGCTTCAAGGTCGAAATCCCGCTTCAGGTTGAGATTAATCCCAGCACCGACACCGACACCAGCTTCAAGGTCAAATTCTCGCTTCAACGCGAGGCCAAGGTCGACTTGGCCAAGGGCAGCCACATCGGCGCTGATGTCGATTCCTCGCTTGAGTTGCAAGTCAACAACGGCACCAACTCCCACTCCAACACCAATATCGAGGTCTCGCTTGAGGGCCAAGCCCAATTCGCCGTCGACACCAACGCCGACACCCAGGTTCAAGTCTCGCTTGGATTCGAAGGTCGTGAAGTCGAGATCAACGACGGGCATCTCGTCGAGAGCTGCGGTCAGAGAAGCCCGCTTCCTCTCGGCACCAACGTAACCGTCAACGCCAACGTTGACACTGGCATCAAGACCTTCCCCGAGTTCTCCGTCGATACCGACTCCAACTCCGGCGCCGACCCCGATATCCAGGGATCGCCTCAAGCTGAATGCCTTGGGACGGGAGGTGATGAAATCGGTACCGGCCTCCCTGTAGTCGTCTCTGAAGACAGAAATGTTGTCGGCCTTGAGACGGAGGATCTGCTTGTTGTCGGAGTCATGAATGGGCCAGTAGACGGCGTTGGAAGACGAGCTGGCTGTGTCGTTGGGGCCGTTGGGACTGCCGTAATTGGCAAAGTTGATCCTATGAGTCGGGTCAGTGGTATTTTGGAAAAAGTTTGACTTATGCATACCAGTAGTCCATTATGACGTGGGAGAGGCGGTGATCAGCCTCGGTATAGGTGTAGGAGAAGCCTTGCTGCCCTATATCGGGTCTGGCGGCACCATAAACGTAAGGAATCTCGGTCGAGTGATAGACTACCACACTTTTCAGCGATCTCGTATGTGGAAACTCAGCTGGACACTCACTGCCAAGGTATTCAGGTTTTCCGGGAGTAGGTTGCTCGAACTGGAATGTCCACGTCTGAGTATTTCCATGGGCGTTGGCTTGCCTTAGGAAGTATCGGCGCTGGGATTGGAAGAAGAGATCACCAAAGATGGCGGCGAAACGCTTGTACGCGGCAGTAAGACCGAACGTTTGGCTTCCAGTGTCGAATGGGCTTATGAGAGCTGTCAGCACATGAACTACACTTGACAGCGACGCTTACGATCCCGCACGCCCATCGTTGGGGTAGAGCCGGAGCAGCTTGCGGGTAGTCATGAGATGGGGGTCGTCTGGCTCGAACAGGTTGAGCACCAAGAGTCCGTATGGGCTACTGTTGATGGAAGTAGGCGCAAACCTCGTTCCTCTGCAGATCAATCAGCAGCATCCCCACGATCACATAGAAAGACGTACTCGTCTTTGGTGTTTCCCGTGATGAACGGCTTATTCGCGACCTTGCCATCCAAGACGAGCTGGTGCGGGGAATCAGGGATGAGATCGCCGTCGATAGTCGGGCTGTATATGAAGCCAGCTTTGAAGGCGGTCTGGTTCTTGACATTCATCTGAGCCGCAAGGATAGCTTCCCCGCTGAGGTCTCTCAAACAGTTGAAGTCGACACAATTGGCAGCTTTGAGGAGAGCTTCATACGCATCTTCCCATGTGGATTCTTGAGGGCCCAGAGGAATGGAACTAGGAGCGCCGCTTTCCATGATCTGATACCTACGTCAGCCACATCATCTCATCGTATCTTTCCGAAACTTACGGCCTTGCTGAAGAGCGTAGTTCCCGGGTCGAGGTACAAGAGAGAGATAGAGATGGCTCCGGCAGACTCTCCAAATACCGTCACCTAATAGGGCTCGGCGTCAGCCAGCTACCATAACTAGACACTCTTGTCACGTACTTGGTCGCGGTCGCCTCCGAAAGCCCAAATGTTCTCTTGTACCCATCCCAGAGCTTTCTTGATGTCTCGGAGACCCAGGTTGGTAGCGTTGTTTTCCGCGAAGCCTGATCCCACACCCCATCCGAGAGCGCCAAGACGGTAGTTGAGGGCGACGTGGATGACGGGTTTACCCTGCAGGCTTGTCAGTGCTGGACTTGGGATCAAACGACGCACAGTTTCAGTTGAGTGCTGAATGAGTGCCGATCCGTTGTAGGGGTAGACAGATCCAGAAGTGAAGGAGCCCCCATATCTTTTCAAAGGAATCAGCGTGGTACTATATCAGTCGACGCGACTCACACCCATACCATCACAGGGACCTTCTCTTCGGCAAGGTTTAAACCCGCAGGAGCAAAAATATTAAGGAACAAACAGTCTTCAGAGTTCTCGGTGCCGTAGATGATCTCGCTCTCTTGAGGGTTCTGCAAACACATGGGAGGCTGGGTCTGGGCAGTGTAGGATTCGGTGTTGTAGACGTAAGACTGGGGGGCGGCGAAACGGAGTTTGTTGACAGCTGCGAACGCATTAGTCTCACTACCTACTCATAGCATAACGGCTTACGAGGCTGTGCATAGGGCACACCAAGGTAGACATCCGCACCGAATCTGTCGTCGGCGAAGCCAACAATGTTCACCGGTTGTCCACCGGCGGTGTCTGGGTATATAGTCGCTGTTGGGGCGGCAGCGACATAGTCGTGGGGAGAATCAGGGTCAGATTTATGTCGGCACTGAAGAGGAGCGGCGGTGGTGAGGGAAAGGAGGGCGAGCGATGCGAGGGACAGTGACCAGCGCATGATGGTACAGTGGCGACGGGCTGTGGGGAGATGTGGAGGGGAGCGTGGGAGAGAAGAGAGGGTGGTATCTGAACGAATGACTGGGGTGAGGCTGTAGGGAACGACGAGTGAAGAAAGAAGAGATGCAAAAGAGAAACCGAGATATCAGATTGGGGCGTTCTACCATCGTCCACAGTCGGCCACCGCCGTGTTTGTTCAAGCCGGACACGGTGCTCCGAGAACAGCAGCATCGCGTCAGCCATGGCACATCTGCGGGCATATCATTCCACAGTCTATCATCTTTTAGATGGAAGTGGGGCATATACCGTACTGAGATATGACAAGGTATATGCCACGTTACCTTCTTACGATGCCACCCGTCGAGTCCTGGTGTGAAGAGCCATTTCACGCAGTATGCGAGCGTGTGCTCGGTCGCCTCGTTATTTGCTCATCATGGAAGAAGACCGTTCTGCGTAGGCATATCATCTGCTAATGACCTCCTCTTGACCAGACAGGGGGCGGTATGTGCGCGACACCGGGCTTCTGATCTTCCCTTCCTCCGCAACAAATCGTTGCAAAGGAGACGACGTGGAGTGCTTCTCTCAACTCCCTACGCTTGTCAGTGGGAGAATGAATTGTTTGTAGATCGGTCGCACCGATGCATGAGTCTCGCATTCCTCCAAGCCTGTGACTTGACTGTTTGGTGCATCCTGCGACACAAACACAGAAGAATGTTGACTTGACTCATGGGGCCGGGAGTCATGGTGGCGGCAGCGGTGGTTGCCGCTTTCGGGGATTTCGCGTGTTCCCCCTGAGAACATTACCGGTTCCGCTCAAGTTCCGCTGCCGGTCAATTCACTGAATTCTGGGTCAATTACTTGGTTCTGCTTGGATCTGGCGCGAGTATCAGAAGCATTTGTACATCTATAACCCCCTCAACAGTCTCAACGATCTCTCCAATGTCTGCCGAGAACACTCAAGCTCGTGAGTGTATCCACGTTCTCATGGCAAATGACGCGCAGCTAACCCTCTCCAAGAGGTCCCTCTGCCCCCAAAGGCGGGCGAGAAGATCCCTCAGGCCAAGGTCGACGAGGAGGAAGAGGAGGAAGATGAAGATGAAGATGAAGACGATGACGATGAAGACTTTGATGATGAAGAGGAGGATGATGAGGACGAGGATGAGGATAGCGAGGATGATGGGGTCGACCACAAGGGTGTTCTGGCCGACTTTTACAACGTGCGTCGGCTTTCATTCGCTCTTTATCAGTACTAACGACGCGCTGTAGAACGAGCAACAAGATGAAGACGATGACGGAGACGTCGTTGAGGGCGACGAAGAGGCTGGTCTCACACCCTTGAAGCGAAAGGCGAACGAAGGGAACGACGGGGATGCGAAGAAGCCAAAGGCTTGATCGCCTCTATACTGTACTCGTACTGTGGGAAAACAGTATATAACTGACCCTTATCTCGGTGCTGTAGTAAAGCCGAAATGTACAATCATGCTTATAAGCCTTGCTTGGGACCACTGACGTGACCCAAAGGTGCTTTACATCTCTACGGCCGTCGTAATACAAAGCCACCAAATATGCTCTACAACCCTGACACTGTCTACAACACCTCACCTCACTCTGCTACAGATCAATCACTCTCCTGCCTCTTCATCTTCTTCACAGGCCGCTCCTCCCCCTCACTTTCTTCATCCGACGCATATCCTTCCTCAATGTCGTTCCCCAATGCGGTAGGAACGTGCCCCAAAGAAGACATGATTGCGTCTTCTGCCGCTGCCTGGCTGAAAGGTACACTGGTGGGTACACTGGTGGGTACACTGGGCGGAACGCTGGATGGGCCGTTGGTTTCGGCCTGGACGGAAGGGGAGGTAGAGGGATCTTCGTCGGACACGTCTACTAGCGGTCTTGTCAGGAGTGGATCGCCCTTGCGTCGTAACAGATGGAAATGACGTCTACCGCAAAATCAGCTGAAGGACTGCTTCGAGGCAGATTTAGACTCACTCGTCATCAACTTCTAGCCACTCTGCCTCTTCCGGCGGTATCGAAACATGGCTGGCTTTTTTCATCTTTTCCTCGTCCTTCTGGCCCGGTGTCGGTGATTCGCGTTCGACTCGACGTTTGGCATCCTCTGCTTCAGATTTGGGAGCAGGCAATGCGGAGGGGGATGGGATGGACCAGCCGAGTCGGTCCGAGATGTATGTGACGATGCTGTCTGCATCTCCCAGTAAGGAGATCTGCGGAACGTTAGTATTGAACCTGATATGATAACTATGATACGTACGTCTGGCTGGACGTGGTATGCCGGCGTAAGGTTGATGAATATCTGAGGCACCGAGTGCGGTATATGCGCTGGAGCCCATCAGCTTCGATGACACTTGTGCTGTAACCATCAGGACTGACTCAAGACCTCGCTCACAGGCGCCACCTTCAAGCTCGTCCCAATCACCACCAACAAATCCACCTCCTCTCTATCTTTAAACAAACACTCGTCAAACTCTGAATCCAAAGCTTGGCCGAAGAATGTGATATCCGGCTATTCACCAGTCAGCTTTACCAAATCATTTCGAAGAGCCTACTGACTTTGATGATACCTGGCTCCCCGCCGCCCCACTCATCCCCACTCTCATCCCCACTCTCTTCCTGCTCCCACGCACTCGCCTTCCCCTTCCCCTTTCCATTCGCTTTCGCCTTCAGCTTCTTCAGCTGCTCCTTATACGTCTTCCTGACCGCATGTTCTTGGGCACACTGCGCCTTACATGGCTCGCAATATGGTATTGTCTGGGCCATGATGTGAGGCTCAATGAAGCGTCCGGGATGCCGGGTTTTGCAGCGCTATACATGGGTGAGACCAAGTGGCGGATGAGATGCTGGAATACTCACTAGACAGGAGGCAGTCTTGAATGAGCCGTGGCATTGCAGAACCTTGCTGACACCCGCAAGGCTCTCTAACGTGTCTATGTTTTGGGTGTAGTTCCTCAGAAGCTAGATGGCATAAGCATACAATCAGCGGCTCGGAGTGGCAACAACTTACCACACCACGGTCTTCCAGCATCTTTATCCATCTATGACAAGGACTCGGCACAAAGTTGCTTGGGTAAATTTGCTTGGCAAATGAGCTATAGACGTCAGCTGTAGTCTACCAACCGCATGGAATCACTTACTAGAACACTTCCGGCTTTTCTCTAAAGTACCGGATATCAAACATTTGCTGGGGATCATCCAGCTCATACTTGCCCTCGTTCTGCAACTGCGCATAAAGACCGGTACTGCTTCTGAAATCTGGTATGCCACAGCTTGTGGAGATACCCGCGCCAGAGAGGACGATGATCTTCTTTGCGTTCTTTAGCAAGTCGAGCGCGTCAGATAGCGAGAACAGGTCGGGGAGGCGTGACCGGCGGCGTAGGATGCGAGAGAGGGTAACTTTGGCAAACGGGAGCAAGGCGAGATTAGAGGTGGAAGGAGTGCAGAGTGGGAGCGGCTTGATAGCTGTCAGCCTCGTACTGCAGCGACTTTGCTCGAGCTCACAGGGATGATCCCAAATCCGAGCAGTAACTTTCTAAGCGACCGCATTTCTCCCGAAGCGTCTGGAACTAGATAGCTCCTCAAAAAATTGACAATACCCGTCTCCTTCAATTGGTGCGTGAAGTCATCCATTTCTTCCGAGTTGTACCCGTTCTCCGCTAGTTTCAATATCAGCCCCAAATCTGTCTTTCTGCAAGACTAATCGTCTCACCTTCTTCTACCAGCTTATCGTACTCGACCTCGGAGAGCTCATCGCGGGCTTGGTCGGAATCATACTCGTCGCTATCAATCTGATAAGTGTCGGCCGGTTTGACTTGAGGCGTCTCCGTTGATCCTTCGCTCATATCTGCGCATCTGTTGTCAATAATGTAACCCCTCTCTGTGCATAGCCCTGTTGATCTTACCCTAGATTAGATTATGTGCTGCGATCGGTGGAGACGAACGAAGGGCAAAGCAGAAAGCCAGATGCTCCGAAAGATGAATTGAATTAGACCATCCAGGCACGGAAGCAATCTTTATCAAATCAACGGATGATTACGTACACAGCGTTTGTTTGTTTATCGCGACCAAAAAGTAAACAAATCGTCAGTTGCAAGTCAACTTTCTTGGAATTCCCAGATGTCCGCCAACCCCCCCATCCTCGCAGTGCCGCACCAGAAGTCGTCCCCAGAGACGCACATAAAGCGATACCTCTCCTCCCTTGAGCCGTACGTCAACGAACACGCCCGCGCCGGCGTCTCGACGTTCGAAAAAGCACTGCGCGGCGAGCCGCCGCCGGAGAGTGAAGGCGCCCCAACGATAGAGGGAAAGTTGAATATGTTTGGGGAGGAAGGGGAGGAGCTAGTCACAAGAGCAGAGCTGCTGGCGAAATTGAGTGGAAGCGGTGTTAAGCCCGCACAGCCAGTGAGGAGACAGCCGCTCAAGGATGTCCAGACGGCGTCGTTCAAGCTGCCACTTGACTCGCTTGTCCACAAACTTGACAAGGGCAAGACAAATGGTGTGGAGAAGAAGAAGGCGAAAGGGACCAAATCCAAAGAAGATGTGTTCGAGGAGTCAGAAACCGAGAGTGCCCAGAGTAAGTTCATTATCTACCAATGGGAGAGAGCTGACGCTCCTGCAGGACGTCTTCAACGTAAGACTCGCCGAAGAGAGAAGGCGGCCATCACCAAGCCAAAACCTCCCACTCCGCCTCCAGCCAAGAAAAAGCGCAAGTCCAAGCCTCCTTCCGTTGACGGCTCGCTTGAAGGATCCGAGGAGTCGGAGGAAGTGGATGACAGGCGGAAGGGCCGAAGGAGGCAGGCTATCCCAGCATTTGTCAAGAATTACCAGGCCAAGAACGTGCAAGAAGCTGTTGAGAGGATCACTGCGAGTCGTGACTCTTGAATTTGAGCTCGATTCTGACATATTCTGTAGGCTAAACCGGTGAAGAAGAAGCAAGGCTTCCTCAATCAAGGAAAGGCATCTATGCCTATATGTCTGCCTTCAGAAAAGCCTCGACTGGCGACTGGTACGTGTTATATTCTTTACATCTGCTTCAATTGACACACTGCAGCTCAACCGTTCTCGGAAGATGCGTTCCTGGGTTCCCAAGGCGCTTTGCGGCGATCTCACGACGAAGACGACACCTTTGGGTGGAAGCTCCCTCACAAGCGACCTCTGTCGTCACTTCCATCTGTCGATGTCGATGATGCGCCTGCACGTCAGACTTCCCGGCCACGATCCACTCGTTCCCCAGTTCGCGCCCCCTCACACACGTCTCTCCCTTCCTCGAGTGCCCAACAGCACGCTCCTTCCGCGCACAACTCTTACTCTCGAATGCCTCCGCCTGGCGTCGCTAACTCGCCTAGCTGGCATACAGAGATCACTGAAGAGCAAGCGTCTTTTGTACGAAAAGAATCGGGGAGACAGGCAGCCACTCCTGGCCCTGCTCAGAATGTGGCTCTGTCGCTCGATCCAGTCTCTCCACCCCACATTCCTCGCGTTTTGACACCACCACGCCCGCAGCCAGAAGAGCCGAGTCCCGGGACGTTACGAGAAGTGTTCGGCGGCAAAAGCTTTGTGTGGCCGAAGAATCGAGGAATGGACATGTCGTTCGGTCAGACCGCCCACGATGAGACTCCCGCCCGCTATCATCAGCCTTCACCAGCGTTCCCACCGCATCATGTTTCGACTGATCCCGCTCCAGATGTATATCGACCCCACAATACGCTGCCACAGTCGACCACCATTCCTGTATTTGTTCACGCCCCGCCCTTCCGATCCGAGGATGATATGGAGTATCAGCCCGTTTGGATGCACGAAGAGAGCAGAGATGACATTAAAATACCACGAAGCGGGTACGAAGAATACGGAGAGGACGAGGAGTACCAGCAAGACCGCCACTACGAACATGAGTTTCCCACACATCGCTTCACCTCAACCCCTATGTATGACCGACAACTATCTTTCGCTCCTTACTCTTCTCAAAACGCCCCGGATCAGCTTGCATACCCCCACCACCACCATCGTATGTCATACGATCATCGGGATCTCCCACAACCCCCGATCTTCCACGCCCCTAGTGCTGTCCGCCGCGAACCACCTCAGCCCGCACCACCGACAGTCAACAATACTCTCGATCGAAGCTTCATCTCGACAGACAGCCCTTTGCCAAAAATGTACGAGCTGCCGAGTCCGCAGCCCTATTGTTACCCTGCAGTCGCCGCGAGGGGGTACGCGATGTCGAGGAATCTGGACGAAGGAAGATATGTGAGGAGCTGGAGTGCAGGGGGACGTCGCGACATCGAGGTCGTGGATGAGCGCTATCAAGATGCACGGGGCGGTTTCGATCGAGAGGATGATGATGGACATCTTGAAGTGACGGAAGGGCAATGGAAGAGTCTTTGGAGCGGGGGAGCGGGGCTGAGATAGAAATATAGTTAAAAGTCACTTGAACGAGATCATCCAACGCCACAGGATGCAGATTATGTATGGGGGGGAGCCCCGATGGTTGCATGCATGACTTAGAGAAGCGGCTCAGCTATGATAGTCAACTTGGACGAGAAAGATTGTTTGGTTCCGGCCGCCCGAAAGGCCAGCTTCGGCTGCCCTCTCGCTGTTCGTAGCGCCGCTAGCCAAGAAGAAGGAGCGAGGTGCTGGGCATGCGGCTTGCTGTGGCATGCTCAGAGGAATATGGGCTGATACATAGCTCGAGGCCAATAGAGACTTGGGGGGGGTGCATAGAAGGGACCATGTGCCACTACGGGCCGCGCGCGAGGTGATTTTTACCCTTTAATCCGGACTCAAGGAATCACCTCATGTATAGGTTATTGGGCAAAAAACTGGAAAGTCCGGTGATCATGATCACCGTAATTGTAGCTCAATGATACCGTAGTTTCAGGTTGAGATCACCCTAGTTGCAGCTTGGAATCATCTAATGCATGGGTTATCATTACCCTTTATTCAGCTTGATATAATCGCTTATATTGGGTATATTTGAGGGTTATAATCACCTGCCTGGAGTATGAATATAGGGTAGAATTAACCGCCATTCCAGGTTTATTTGAGTACTCGCATCAGATACATGCAGATATGATGACCAGATACTAAACGCCAGTGGTCTCCTGCGCCTTCCGCCGGGCTTCCTTCTTGGAGTTCTCAAGCCGCTGCTTGAGGAGAGACTCGATGGGCCACTCTCGCACGAAGCGAGAGCCTCTTCGCCGATTGGGAATTTGGCTCTCATCTAATAATATATTAGCCTTGTTGTGCGAGAATGAGGTGTAGAGCAACTTACCGCATGCTTGATGAGGGTTAGGTCGTCTGTCTCCACTTGGGAGAGCAGGATTTGGCCGACCTTGTCCCCCAAGTGGAGGTCGGCGGCCTTCCTGATCGCCGCCTAGAGGGTGTCAGATGCGTCAAACAAACACAGGGTTTGAACTTACGGCCAGAGAATTCCAGAGA